TTTTTTTTTTTTTTTTAAATAAACAGCAAGGGAAACAAACAGTGAATACTTGCGTTTTGCGTTTCAGTGCATCACGCAAAAAAAATTTTCACTGTCCTTTAACTGTGTGTCCTTTCTGAATTCAGATTGTAGTAGAAAAAAAAATATATATATATATAATTTTTTTTATTTTTTTGCAATGAGTGTAACATTTAATCTCGTATTTTGGTTTTCCAATACAAATATCTAAACAACCTTAAATCAGGATACATATACTCAAGATGCAAATATAAAATGAAGTCTTGAAAAATGTATCAAAAATAAGTGAGTTTATGCATAAAACAAGAAAATAAGCAAAAAAAAAAAAAAAACCTATATAATTTTGCTTAAGTAAATGTCTGAGACCATTCCTTGAATTTTGGATGTTTTTAAATTTAAACCTGAAACTAAAATGTTGCTCTTTTTAATCATTATTTTGCACACCATTTTTCTGGCTTTGTATTTATGGACACATAATAGTTTTTGAAAGAAAAAAAAAATCATTTGTACACGCAGGACCATTTAAAATGGCAAATAAGAATAATTAAAAAAAAGACATAATGGTTCATTTCAGGATTTTGACAGAAATGATCTCTAATCGTCAAAAATCATTTAAATTGACAATAATCTCTGCATTTTAAAAAATAATAATTACTGCGAGAACTAGCGGTGTAAATGTTCATTGGTCACTAATGGACCCTGTTGTCATGTGTACCACATTCCTTTGAAGCACATGTGAAAACAAAAAAGCCCTGCATTATTCTCTCCACCCTGAATTACCACTTGGCAAATACTGTTTCACCACAATGGGATTCTGGATATTGTTTTACTACTGCGTCATTATTTCAACTCACCCGTCCAGTCTTTGCAAATAATATGAATTCTGAGTTTTACATGTTCACATTGAGGCCTCTAACAGAGAGCGAACGTTACAGAGAAAATGTCAGTGACTTGTACCTATAAACAACGGATCATTTGCTTCATGTCTAAGCAGGTCTGGTTAAGCTGGTTTTAACAACAAACACAATTTTGATTATTTGATTACAAACACTTCAGAAAGTGGCCGGAGCTGCAGAATTACACAGCCTAGTTTGTCCTAGAAAACCAATATAATGGCATAAATGAAAAACAAAACGTTTTGATGCATGTTACGTTATTAATTACCATGGGTGCTTTGCCCTCAAGACACTAGGAATCGAGTTTTATTGATATGTTGTATGAATAAACACGTGTCATGTGCCTGTTTGGTGGGAATTAAGTCACCAGTATGTGAAGGGTTTGTTGACTTTAACATAAGTCATTCAAACAGCCTTTCGCTCTGACTTTGCTTTATTTTCCATTCAAGTGTCAGAGAGTTTGATCACATGTTGCAACTTTACAATTTTCGCCACCTTGACATTGTAATTGTGGCATTGCCAATGAAAATGTGTTCTGTGCTATAAGATTAAAGCCGAAAGCGTTTTAACATGATTCAAGCATTTTTCACTGCCTTACAATGTAGCAACAGTCAGTCTTTGGAATTTCAAAGCACTTTTTATGCCTAAAGCACCTCCCAGTTTCTAACTGGGTTTCACACACCCTCATGAAAAACTCCCCCTCCCTTCAGCTTCTTTTTAGAGGAGTTGATTAGTGTCTGCCAGGCACATTACTGAGCAGAGACACCATCCAGGTTTGATTTTACTCCCGATTTTATTCATTAGAAGCTATCTGCATCCTTGTTACAAGATGAACATAAATGCAGTGATCCGTTTGATGTCATTGCTGTCTATCTGGATGTGGACCGGAGAAGGTAAGTGCATTTTAGCCTTAATACCAATGTCTGTTTGTTCTTTTTATATGTGGTTGGTTACTATAGAGTTCTGGTTTCTGTGTTACATCACAAATGCACTTAATTTATTCTTTATGTTGTTTACCTTTTCCCTCAGTTTAAATGGAGAGAGGCTTTCTTTGATAATAGCTCATTAAAGACAGAGTAAAGTGCACACAAATATTCCATTAAATTTTCATCATGTTGGATGTCAGACAAAGATGATTACAGAGTAATAAGCTAAAAATCTTCCTCCCGTTAAGTAAAAATACCCTGGCAACTATTATGAACAAATGACTAACATCAAACATATTTAAACTTTTAAATGGGGTCATTTTTTAAGCTATTATTTTGTGTTGTGGACTATATTTGTTATAAATAGCTTATTAAGTCATTAATTAGTAGTATGTCATAGGACGTCACACTCATCACACATTTTTTAAATGACCTACTACAGAGATGAATACAGATATAAAAATCTCCAATGAAGCCTTTTCTATGTCATGTTCATACAAGTTGTAAAAACAGAATCTATATTGAGACTCGAGGGAAACACACACTAGGAGGCTAGACTGAACCTGTACGTTGTGTTCCGTTGCCAGTTTTCCATCAGTACACCTGTAGCACTGCAGTTACAGTATTTGGGGTTGGTAGGTGTTACACAATCCTTTTTCCCCAGGACAGGGTTATGAATCAGACTGAACCTGCTATTATATGTCACAGATTTGAATGGGCATCAAGTTGGAACAATGAGGTCACTTTAAAAATGTCTCTTTAAAGTCTTTTTCTCTGTCTACAGGTCAGCTATTCCAGCCTGAGCTCACACCTAATGCTTTCCTAGCCACTGTCACAAGCAATACAGTGATACTGAAGCAGCCGTATTGTGTATTTGATCAGACGTGCCCTGGCTGTGAGATGTGGCTGGGCTGTGCTCAGGTAAAACGTCTTTAGAAATTGTAATAATATTTCACAATATTGCTGTTTTATGTATTTTGATCAAATAAACAGCCTTGTTGAGCATAAGAGACTTAAAAAAAATAGATCTAATGCAAATTCTCCCATCTGTTTATACTATCAATCCTCTTTCACCTTTAGCGAACGGCGTCTTTGATGCTCAAGTGAACAGCTCAACTCCCAACATCCTCAGCTTGTCACCCTACCCAACAGCATTCAACCCATCATCAAAGAACTTCTTTCTGACCAGAGTTGGACTGCTGTCAGATTTCCCCTGTAATCAGTCCTCCAGTGATCGCTACTTCATAGTCGGAGCTGATGGGAAATGTAGTGGCATCAACTGTAATGGAGTACTTCCTGATAGATTCCTGTTTGGTAGGACCTTTTAAGTGTATTCTGCAATGTGAATCTAAGAAACTGTTTAACATAAAGATCCAAATCTGCCATTCTAAAACCCATTAGGACATTCGTAAGGTTAACAAAAGCCAATAAAACTTTCATTTTGATGTCATGTGGTCATTAGATAACTACATTTAGCTCAACTACAGTGCTTAGCGATGATAAAACACAATAAACAACTGCCTAAAATGTCCACCCCCATTAGCGAAATTTTGCAGGCAAAAAAAGCTCAATTGTCTATTGTCATTAGTGTAATGTATAAATTACCACTCACACAGAAGTTACTTTTAAACTAAGTAGCTTTCTTTTGAAATTTGCATGACCAACTAGACCCAATGCCAAATTTGCAAGCCAGTATATTTCACCCTCACACCAAATTCCTGATTGCGTGGATTTCTATTGAAATGATGGGATTTTCACCAAAACATTAACTGAACAGTGGTAAATGTTGACATACTGTCAATTACCTTTTTTTGCACACAAAATGTTTGACTTCAAAGGTGCAAAATGTTAGTTTTGTCACGTCAGGGGAACAAAGGAAACTCAAAGTCAAATTAAACACAGGAACCAAGGGATACTAGAACAAAACAGAGCATACATGTGGCAAGTCAGCGAATGGACTATTTGCACGAGCACGGGTACTGCTCAGTCATTTCCGGTCAACTGTCAAAATCAGGGGCAAGTTCAACCTCAAACCGGTGTGCACCGTTTTGCTACGGTTTCCGGGTTGAACGACATGTTTCCTGGATACGGTGTGCAACGGGGTTTGAGATGTGTTTTCTCTTGTTTGGTGGGTGTGTCAAAAATGTCAGCCCAATCAGCAGCAGCATGTATATAAACCACAC